AATCTTACATGTTTTTCCACACTATGTTCTGCATCTATGCCAAATATCAACTATATCCATGCACTGGAGATACATTCAAACAAATACCCATCCATACATCCATCCAATCATTCGCATTTCCAATATTAGTAAGATTAAAAGTTCAACTTTTTATTTGCACAATAATTCTCAAAATAAAAGTTTTTACTCGGCAACCACAGTATAAACCAGATTTTAAATAAACTAATGCATTGTACAATTTTCCAGGGTAAGCAGCAACAAACAAAACGAACAACGACATTCTTCCAGTTCTGCAATGCCGAGAGTGGCATCCTTCTATGTACTGACGTGGCCGCTAGAGGTCTGGACATTCCAGCTGTAGACTGGATTGTACAGTATGATCCACCAGATGACCCTAAGGTGATTATTAATCCTTTTAATTTAGTAAATTATAGAACTATGTAAAAAGTGTATGCTATCTGTTTTTTTTAAAATACTGAGCTATTTAAAAAAAAAAATTATATCCTGCATAATTATGTATTCATAAAACCTGAGTTTCTCATGTATTTTTTTTTTCATCTAAATAATTAAATTTATAGACAACAACTAAATCTTCTTCTAAGATTTTAATGGTTTCAATTTATCCTAATTTATAATTTCAATATGTAAACAATGAATCTTAATGTGTACAACTATTAAACTAATTTATGAAATGTTATAGGAATACATTCACCGAGTAGGCAGAACAGCTCGAGGTCTGGGCACAAGTGGTCATGCGCTACTGTTCCTACGGCCCGAAGAGCTCGGCTTTCTGAGATATCTCAAACAATCTAAAGTCACTCTCAATGAATTCGAGTTTTCTTGGAATAAAGTCGCAGACATACAATTGCAGGTGAGTAAATTCTAAAAGTAGACTTAATTTTTTTTTAGAGTGTTTCCCAAAGGACAATCTTGCCATGCTCTTTTCTATTAATAGATTAATAATTACATTTTTCCTAGAATCAATATAAACTAACAATTTTATTACAGTTGGAAAAATTAATATCAAGAAATTATTTCCTCAATCAATCGGCTAAGGAAGCGTTCAAAAGCTACTTAAGAGCATATGATTCACATCATCTGAAAACAATATTCGATATTGACACAATTGATTTGGCAAAGGTTTCTAAGTCATTTGGATTCACAGTACCACCTGCTGTTGAACTAAAAGTTACTCCGAAAGGACCGATGCAAAAGAAACGAGGTGGTGGAGGTTTTGGGTATTTCAAAACTTTGAATAAAGAACAGAAGAGAACTACCAAGACAAAGATATACAGACAGAAGGGTAATAATAAGAGAGCAATCAGCTGAGACCATTTATTTGCTTCAATGTTTTTTTATTTAATATGATGTATGTCAAATAAATGATTTAAACCATAACTGATTTTTTTATTATTATTGATAAAAAAGTAAATAAGTTACCGGTAAGAAATAACTCCGTCCGCGCGGAATTAAAAAAAAATAGTAGCTTATGTGTTCGTCCAATGTTCTACATGTGTGCCAAATTTCATCAAAATCTGTCTAGCCATTCCGGAAATACTTTAAACAAACTTTCATCCATGTAAACATTCGAATTTATAATTTACACTTAACATAAGCACACAGTAGAGGACCTTTTAAATTGCAGGTTTGTCTTCATTTCATCAAGATAAATCAATGAAGTTATTTCTTTCTGTTATTTACTGTTAAAAATGAGTTAAGGATTTTTATTGCCTAAGAGTTATTCCATAGTTTTTAAATTCATTTTAAAAACCTATTACCTATTTATGGAACCAAAAAAAAGCTATAAATTCATAACTTTGTAGTAACAATTTTTTTATCAATAAAAGTTGTAAAAGGATACAAAAGTCAATATGCGGTCTTTCTATAAAACCAAATCCTTTCGCTGCTGCATCTAAATCCATATTATTGATGTCAAAGAATTTGGTCAATGGATGTTTCTTGTAGCACCTTAGAAAGGATAGATATGCCTTTCTGGACAATGTCCTCATTACTCCATTATCCTTAATTAAATTTTGTAACTGAAAATATTAAATGTAGCATAAATTATATCTGGTTACTATTCCAGTCAAATCCAATAAGTCTAAATATGTGTGAAATTTAAAAATTAAAAATATTGCCACAATGGAAAACAATAGTTAATTTGCTGTCAGAATTTTTATATCAAACATTTATATATAAAAATTACCATTTCTACTACTTCACTGGAAGGTCCTTCAAAATTATATTTGTCCAAATATACTTTTTTAGTCTTGAGAAAATTAACAAATTCCTCTTCTTCTGGCCTTAGAAGTATGACTGCGTTGCCTGTTGTGTTGCTGCCTCTTGCTGTACGACCTACTCTATGGATATATTCCTACAAATAATAAAAAAATTAGAGAATTTTTAAAGGAAAGAAAGGTGATAATAATTAACATTTGCCATGCTGTGCACTTGCCTGGCGAGCAAAAAGAAGTCATAGTGTCACATAAAATCTTAACCATATAATTTTAATTTTGAATTTTACCTTAACATCTGTAGGTGGATCATATTGTACAATCCAATCAACATGCGGTATATCCAAACCTCTGGCTGCAACATCTGTGCAAAAGAGTACACCTGTCTTCGCTTCAACAAAACTTCTGTACGCTTCTTTTCTATTGGCTTGACTAAGTTTTCCCTTAAATAAAATTAAAAAAAAAATATTAATATACATTTAAAGTGCATGGAAAATGAGAGATGAACTATACGAAAGAAACACAACGAAAAATATACATTTTTAATCTACTTACATGAATGCTTATAACTGGTGCTTTACAATGACATTTAAAAAATTCATAATGAAAATCCACAGATTTACATGACGAAAAGAATACCATCACCTTAAGTTTCTTGCATTTCTTTAACATTTTATGCAACCATGGTATCCTCTCTTCTATTGGACAAATAAAATACCTACAAAGAATTTTGTATAAGATATACAAATGTTTATTGAAAAAGAAAATAACTATAATGTAAAACTAAAGAAAATGACATAATATTGGCACTGTTTCACTCTAATAAAATAGAAAGCTTGTTCCTTCATTTGTATCATTTACAGTTGTGAATTGCATACTATTTCTAATATTAGCCCACAATCAAAGCAAGTAAAAACCTGTAGTATTTCTTACCCTTGTTGCAGTCCATTTACTGTTCTAACATTATCCAGTACGGAAATTAGCACTGGACTACTTTTCATTGACAGTCTAGCAAGATTCTTTATTTTGTCATCAATTGTTGCACTAAATAAAGCTGTTTGTCTATCCTCTGAAAGTAGTATTATTTCCTGAACAAAAGGAATAGATAATATCACTTCTTTTAGCTAAGAGATGTCTAATTATAGTTTGAGAAAATTATCAGACTTATGATGGCATAAATTTTAAAGATAGATCACAAGTTCCCTTTTCAATATAAAAAAGCCAAAGCTTCCTTGTCAGTAGTACTTTTTTTTCGAGACCAGATTTAAAATTTAGAACTATAGCATAATTTGGTAATAAATAAGTATGTGCTTTTCAATTAATCTGGAATATTGAGATATAGATATGTTTTCATTCTGTACATCCTGTTCTCCGTCAATTAAAGGTCGGCAACGCATATGTAATTGGGTATGTCTATGGACAATGGTCACCTCGCTATTTTAGCGATTTCAGGTGGTCGCTTGCTCGTTTGCCACCTTATGATATATAAAAAATGGTAAAACTTAAACACAATTTAAACTGTGTAAACATACCTGGTATTAACTTTATGATTCCAGCAATATGCTTTTCAAAGCCAGCTTCTAACAACTTGTCTGCTTCATCTAAGATTAAGCACTTCATATTTTTAAAATTAAACTCTGTATTTTGCAAATGATCCAGCAACCGTCCAGGCGTACTAACTAGAATATTAACACCTGTAACCATTGAGAAAAATAGTAAATTTAAAATACAAATACAATAACATTGTCTATTTCAAAATAAAAATAACAAAGACCAAAAATAAGAATAAAGAAAAAATATTGTTAACAACACTAACCTTTTTGTAATAATTTTATCTCTTTGTGTTTTTTCACGCCTCCAACGATTAATATATGAGACAAATCAATTGCTGCAAGCAATATTTTTAAAACTTCATATGTTTGTAAGGCTAACTCTCTCGTAGGAGATATAATAACACAACCTACACCTAAAATAAAAAAAAAACATTTTTACTTTACTACTTAAGTACTATAAAAATTTGCTTTTGAACAATCATTCATTGAACAAAATTACCATGTACCATGTTTTGGGGTAAATTGTAACCTAAGTAAATTTTCTACCACTGGAATTAAGAAGGCCAATGTCTTTCCACTACCCGTTTTTGCTGCTCCAATAACATCTTTTCCCAATAAAAGTTGCGGAAGAATTTTAGCTTGGATCTCTGTAGGTTTTTCAAAACCCATTAACTTGAGAGTATCTAAAATGCGACGATCGATTTTTCCTTTTAGCATTGAAAAGGAAGATTGAGAAATAATATCTTCAGTATCCATGGCAGATTGGTATTGAGAAAACTTAGAGCATTTGTTTGAAATTAAAGTAAATTGTCAGGAAATTACGAAGTTTTAAAAAAGTACAAGACTTAATTGACACTGACATTAAAAATAACTGTTGCCATTGCATTGTTGGTTTAGGGATGTTTATGAACTTAAAGTCCACTACTTGGCTAACTTTACTTAAGGGTCAACATATTCACCATTGTAATTAAACATTTCATAGCGGTCCGTTTTTTTATGTAAAGTAGGTTCCTATTCCCTTTTTAATTAATGTCATATTTAAAATTTTGATTGTCTTCAACGCTGACGATTCCTTTTCGAAGTTGTATGAACTTTTAATTTGACAAATCAAATTTCGCCACGCCATTGTTCTTCCGGTTTTTTTCAGCTATTTCAGAAAAAGTCAAGAATTAAATGAATGGAGTTTTATAAAATTTTATAATCTGTCAGTATAATAAATAAACGTCAGCATCAGCGGTTGGCTGTCAGTTTTCTACACGTTCTATTTATCAGCTAGCTGTTCCCATTTACCGGTGTAAGGATTGTTGTTTTAATCATGGTTAATTCATACTCATGGGTAAACCATTTTCAAGCATTTGTATTGATTATTTTCACATTTGTTATATCCGCTCAGTCTGACGTTCCTAGACCGCGCGGTGTTTCTTTATCCAAAGCGTCACTGTATTCCCCTACGAAAGACTTTACATGTTTTGATGGAACTGTGACAATCCCATTTAATTATGTTAACGATGATTACTGCGATTGTTTCGACGGCAGCGATGAGCCGGGAACATCGGCTTGCTTGAATGGAGTTTTCCATTGCACAAACGCTGGTCACCGGCCGGAAAACATCCCAAGCTCTCGTGTTAACGACGGTGTATGTGATTGCTGCGATGGAACAGACGAATATGCTCAACCCGAAACGTGCAAAAACACATGTGAGGAAATGGGAAGGGAAGCCAGAGCTGAAGCGCAACGTTTGGCTGATCTACATAAAGCTGGGAATCATTTACGACTTGAATTAATAGAGAAAGGAAATAAAAAGCGAAATGAAATGGCTGAGCAACTTTCTCAATTGGAGAAAGATAAAACTGAAGCAATAAAAATTAAGGAGGAAAAAGAGTCCCTGAAAAATCAGTTAGAGGCTAAAGAAAACGAAGTTCTGCAGGTGTACAGAGATGCAGAAGAGAAGGAAAGAAAGAGAAAAGCAGAAGAAGAAAAGGAAGCACTCATCAAGGAGGGCACAGAATATTTCTCTATGTTTGATACAAATGATGACAATGTGTTAACAGTAGATGAAGTAAAAGTTGTTAATGCTTTTGATAAAAATAAGGACGGTGAAGTGGACCAGGAAGAAATTCAATATTTCTTAGGCACCAATGAAAGTGTAGACAAAGAAACCTTCCTATCTACAACTTGGCCCATGCTAAAACCTTTTGCTATGTCAGAGCAAGGTGTCTTCCAACGGGGTGATGAAAATGAGGAACTTGATGATCAAGATACAGACGAGGCTACAAGAGATATAGAAACTGATGAAGGTGACAATGAAGAGGAAAATGCTGAAGATGATCTACCACAAGATGTAGATCAGGAAGTGGAACCTGAGAGTAGTCGAATCTATGATGATGAGACCCAAAAAATAGTTGATGAAGCTTCTGAAGCACGTCGCCAATGGACAGATGCAGAAAGAGCAGTTCGGGAGATTGAGTCAAACATCAGAAACTTCCAACAAAATCTAGAGAAAGATTATGGTCTCCAACAAGAATATGCTACTCTAGATGGACAGTGCTTAGAGTATGAGGATAAGGAATATGTTTATAAGCTATGTTTATTCCAGAAGGTAACGCAGAAATCGAAGAATGGGGGAGCAGAGGTTGGTCTTGGTAACTGGGGTGAATGGGCAGGTGAAGATAATAAGAAGTATTCAGTGATGAAGTATACCAATGGCATTGCCTGCTGGAACGGGCCAAATAGAATGACAACAGTAAATATACATTGTGGTTTAGAAACCAAGATGTTATCAGTCTCAGAACCCTACCGTTGTGAATACAATATAGAGCTGGCCACACCAGCGGCATGTGATGACTCAAATGCATCACAGCAGCAATCGCATGATGAACTCTAATTATAAGTTGCATAAATGTGAATGTTTCACATCCCATTGTGATGTTTTGCCACAAGTGTTATGTAAAAGTTGGAAATTACCATTTTTACTAAAGAAATGTGAGATCATAATTTGATCAGTCCTACTATTAGATAATTCATACAAATTAGAAAGACTTAAGTGCTAATAATAATTTGGTTTTGTAATTAATTTATTAAGCTTTGTGGCACTTATCTATTTTCATCATATTTATTTTAAGTAACAGATTATTATTGCATTTCAATTATAATGTAGTGTATCCTACTGTAGATGTACAATGTTTTGAAGACTGAAGTCACAAGAGTATGGTAACATAAACACATTCCTCAAGTAAGGCTGTAATAATACAAATAGAAGGATATAATCAATGAAGTTGAACAAAACATTGTAAATGATCAATAAAATATTGTTTTTGATTATAACATTTAATATTTCATTATAACCAATCTTCAAAAAATATTGTTGTTTATAAAACATGTTCTTATCATTGTTTTTCATGAAAGTTAGTGCATGAGGTTAAAGAAATTATCATTGAATTAACATAACAATAAAACTAAAGCATTTTGAAATAAAACAATATAGTTATGAATATTTAAAAAAAAATTACAAAATATCCACTAGTAGCTACGCTAAAATGGCGCCAAATGAATTAAAATTTGTATTTCGAACATGAGATATATATTTAATATAGAACATTGAAATCAATTGTGTATTGATTCATTAAATCTGTACAAATATCAACTTATCTAAAGTTTAAAGGGTTACTTTATTTATGGTCCAGGTTATCGTAATTGTTACAAATAAATAGTAAAGATAGGTTACAATGTAACAAGCAAGCAGGACGGCACATAATATAGTAGGGTAGGTTTTTATTACCATTGCAAAGTAACGTCGTAATTTATAATTACTCTTCCAATGGGTACATTGATAATAATTAACTTCGGAAATCAATTTTTGTTATGTAAGTTAAAAATATTGGCAATTATTTTTATATAGGTTTTGATAGCGCTTCCGCCCGCGTGGAATTTGAATAAGAACTTAATACACTATGGGTTCTTTCAGACTATGTATGCCAAATTCCAGCGAGATCCTTTTAGCTGTTCTGGAGATGGGTAATAACAAACATCCACATACATCTAAACTATTGCATTTATAATATTAGTACGATAGACAAAATGTATTGCCTTCATGATTTCACGATCACGATATTTAGTTTTCGTAACTTTAGTTGTGATAAGCATTTACTTATCAAATACTCTTGTTTGATAACAAGTATTGTCACGGAGATCTTCGTATCTTGTCCCAAGCTTATCAACAAAACATCTAAAACTACTAGTTGCTGACTGGAAAGATGGTTTACGAGTAAGTGCCCGCTCGCAACCCAGTGTGCTAGACAGAATGTACAGACTTCCATTTGGCTCTATCCGAACACCTCTCCCTAATACCGCTCTTATTTTACTCGCCATCAATCGTAACCTTTGAAAAATAAGACTTACAATAATTTAAATTCGAATAAGAATATTAATATCAATAAGATAAAATAAGCTGTAGTGTTTTAATGAATACAAATCTCGGAATGCGTATGATTGCATCAGATGTGTTTTTTTATCAAGTAGGAAAATCGACCGATGAGTTTTCCGAGATTAATTGTAAAATGTTATTAGAATATATAATAAATACGTGTTTACTATTCATTTAATTTCCTACAGGTGAGCGGAAACGTTTGTATCTTTTCTGTATAGTTTTATTAGTCCAGTTCAAACAGTAAAATAGGTTGAACTGTACAAGTACTATATTTACTAGAACTAGGACCTCGTTTGAGCTAGACATACAATATTTAATAGGACTATCGCGAACATCCAATCCGATTAAAAGTCCTTAGTTTTATTTGGGCCGATAGACGACTACCTATTTACTACAATATCGATCACTAGCTGCCCTTCGACTCTGTTCCTGCGGAATTAAAAAAAAACTTATTTAGTAGGCTATTTATTCTTCCTGGCTATGTTCTACATTATGCCAAATTTCAGGGACATCTATGCAGCTGTTCTTGAGATACCTTCTAACCAACTTCCATCTGTCCATCCAAACATTACGTTTACAATATTAGTAAGTTTGTATAAAAGTTGCGCATAAGATAAGAAAGAAAAGTCCCGGGAATCCCATTAAAGTAAACAAGCCTTGATCTTGTTGACGTGCGAATAGAAAGGTCATTTAAGAAGATTTGATAAAAAACAGCTATTTATATATATATAATAGACTAGCATTTTCCTGCGACTCCATCCGAGGGGAATTAAGAAAAAACTTACTTTCTAGCCTATGTATTCTTCCAGTCTATGTTCTACACCTATGTTAAATTTCATTGAGATCCACTGAGCCAAAACAACTGAAGCATTCGTAGGTTTTCATGTTTTGGGCAATAAATACCCAACTTAAGATTATTTTAGCCCCTTACACTTTTTTTACAGCGGTGTAAATTGTACACAAAAAACTTTTTTGTATTTATTTCTATTTTGTCTATATTGGTCTATATTCTGTGATGTTTCTTATAAGTGTCAAGTGTCGATTGCTGTCAATGTCAATTGTCAAGCTTGCAGCGCTTGGATTTAGCTATTTGCTTATTTACTGAATTTTTGGTTATAGTTGATGTAAACTGTTAATACCCGTGTTTATTGTAGAACAAAAATTGCCTAACTAAACAACAAGGAAGTATCGTAGATTTTACAATCTACGAGCCATTATGGAAACTATTTTAGAACAGCAAAGAAGTTATCATGAGGAAAGGGAGCGTACCATGGATGCCATGGTTAAAGAAATTCTACATAAAAAGACTGGGGTAAGTAGATTTTGCCTTGTATTGTGAAGAAGTTTAAATTTTAAGTACAAAAAATGTTAAGGAGTTAACCCCATATTACTTTTGTTGATTAATGTGTTAACTTACTAAAATTTCAGCATCGAGAAACTATTAATGGAGAACATCGATTGAAGAATTTACATGATGTAAGTACTGAATTTTATAATAGTATTAAAAAATATTCAGAGGTTAACCTAAACACAACATCTCTTTTCTTCCACCAACCAAGCATGAGTATTTGTATTTCTAATTATAAAGATAACTTTGATCTCTTTTAGAGATATGTGGAATCAACTATAAGACTTAAAGAGTTGTATGAAGACAAGGATGGTTTACGCAAGGAGGAAATCTGTGCGCTTTCAGGCCCTAATGAGTTCCAAGAGTTCTATGCACGATTAAAACAAATTAAAGAGTTCCATAGGAAACATCCTAATGAAGTAAGTAGCCCGTTATTACTAAATCAAATTCCTACTATTAATACTATTTTTAAAAATAATCTTATTTATTTAAATGATTTAATTTCAGATATGTGTGCCAATGTCTGTGGAATTTGAAGAATTAGCACAATTAAGAGAAAATCCATCAGAAGATTATACAAGTAAGTTTGTTAGTACATATATAGACATTTTCAAATTTTAGAACAAAAAGATTTTATGTTATGCTAGGAACGAAGGAGTTTGGAAATTAATTTATAAGTACATAATAATGATTGTTATCAATTTGCTTGTATTTTTTAGCTCCAGTGGAGTTTACTGATGAAGAGGGGTATGGAAAGTATTTAGATTTACATGAATGTTATGAAAAATATATTAACTTGAAAGGTATTGAGGTAAGTCAAAGTTTTTCATTAACAATTGAAATGATTAAATACTTAACTTATCAAATATCAATTAATGATATTTTTTTTTCACAGAAAGTTGACTACATCACATACTTGAGTATTTTTGATCATTTGTTTGATATTCCGCGTGAAAGAAAGAATAGTGAATACAGGAATTACATTCGTATCTTGCTGACATATTTGAAGGATTATGTCAGTAGAGTAAAACCATTGTTAGATCAAGGACAAGAAATGGCGGCAGCGCATCAGGATTTTATAAAGCAATGGGAAGCGGGAACTTTTCCAGGATGGCCTGTATGTATTTATAATTTTTTATTCTAATATAAGTAGGCAAGCCTTAAATTATTTAAATAAAAAAAAAGATTTAGTTAACAAGCCATTGTTCTTATTTTCTTAGTTAATTGCTGTGTTTTTGGTTACTTCATTGTATTGTTTATTCATTATTTTTTACTAAGTTTTATTTGTTTTACAGAAAGAAACAGGAGGTGCATTAACAAATGTTGGTGCCCATTTAGATTTGTCAGCGTTCTCATCTTGGGAAGAGCTGGCTTCTTTGGGCTTGGATAGATTAAAGTCGGCTCTTATGGCATTAGGGCTGAAATGTGGCGGAACGTTAGAAGAAAGAGCTCAAAGGTAAATAACACTTCTTCAGCATTAAACTAATCATAACATTTAATTTAACTTTATTTTTTAATTTTAGATTATTCAGCACAAAAGGCCAGACTGCTTTGGATAAATCTCTTGTTGCTAAGAAAGGAGCAACTAAAGCAAAGGCTTCTACACAACAACGTCACAAGGATATTGCTGCTATTGAAGCTCAAATTTATAGGTATTTATCACATTTTTTCATATAATTAACCTGGAAACTTAAAAAAATGAAAACATGATTTATTTTAGTAAAGAATTTTAACAACAATATCATATTTTGCAGTTTATATCTAAACCGTTAGTAACATTACGATTACTAAATTGAGTAATTAACTGTTAACTAAAATACTACTCAAATAAGGCCTGTTCGGCTTAGCTATGGTTGTTAGTACGAACACATGGTAATTGTCATTACTTTTGTAACTATTCCATAGATTTGCGAATGTGGTAAGTGGAATCCGAACAGCCACCATAGAGAATGTGACGCGTCGTGCTGCGCGCGCTGCCGGCGAACGCAGGGATGAGAGTGATGATGAGAGTGATGGCTCCGCTGCTCCTGACATTGACTCTGATGACGACGAGGTGCCATACAATCCCAAGAACTTACCTCTCGGATGGGATGGCAAGGTATAGCTTACTAGCGAACCTAGGAATATTACCTTTTCTCATTGCTTATCAAGACATCTAGAAATTTATGACAGCGTCGATGAGGGTTCATGGAAACACATAGTATTGTCATGTTTGGTACTGCCATTTAAAGGAATTTAGGCACATCTTTAGCACAACTAATGCCTAAGTACAGTTAATTTTTGTAACAGTGTTATTTATAGTTTATTGTAAATTTCTTTTTTAGCCTATACCATATTGGCTGTACAAGCTACACGGATTGAATATAAGTTACACATGTGAAATATGTGGTAATTACACATATAAGGGACCAAAAGCGTTTCAAAGACATTTTGCGGAATGGCGCCACGCTCACGGAATGCGATGCCTAGGAATACCTAACACTGCTCATTTCGCTAATGTCACACAAATCGAGGACGCACTCGCATGTAAGTCTATTTGTTGAATTTTTTTT